TAAGGAGTAGCACCATGAAAAGCAAAAAAAAAAACCACAAAAAAACAAAAAAAAGAAAAAAGAAAAAAGAAAATATATCTGTGACAAATTACTCTGACACCTGGGCTGAAATCCAAGAAAACTTTCAGGCAATACATGAGATATCTACGAAACTGAATTTCTTACACTTGTGGTAGCTATGTGCTGGATGCCATCATGGTAAAGCATGGGTTAAATACAGAATTCAAAAATTTTTGTATGTTTGCAGCTCATCACTTATCATAAATGCTGCCTTCTAGCTCAGCTGCATAACATTTCCTTTTCATTGTGATTACTGCTGTGGTGCATATGCAAGTGCTAGCTGGAAAAGGGGCAATGGAAGGTGCAGGAGCAGTCCAAAGCAGTCAGAGATGCACTGGACACTGATACATTGATGGGTAGAATTTCAAGATTCTCTTTCTCAAAGCTGCATTCTGTAGTGCTCACCCAGAATGTAAATAGAACACTAAATTTGTGACAAATAAGAGAAATTATGGTGGTTGCTTTCATTCCTGTCAAAGCTCCACTTGATTTTATCCAACACATTGTTTCAGAGATGATGGCCCTGTCCTTCACATGGTTGTTGCCTGCAGCCAGGACTATTTAGTTCTAACAAAGATACAAGAAATGCAAGAAACACCTAAAGCTTATTACCCATAACTGGCTGCATAAAATTACAGGCTGTCAGTATGTGTTAGATGAATCCATCTGGAGAAGATAAAAGAATCGTGAATGAAACTGGTTTCAACATTCCAGATAAACTGTCTTTTAGCATTAAAAAAAAAAAAAAAAAAAAAAAAAAGATGAAAAAGAAGAAAAAAAAAAGACCAAAGACTGGTTATTCTTTTTCTCTTCATGTAAACTAGGGAAGAGGGCACAGAGCTATTAGATAATGCAGTCAGCTTCCTAACTGTTTCAGAAATATATTTTTTAGGCTTTTTCATTTAAGGTAGGTCTTTATTGCTCAAAGGGTGGTCCCTCTCCTATTACTGAATGCAGTACTCTGAGCCTTGTCTTTTATCAGGAAAAAAAGAGATGGATAAACTGAAAACTAATAACAGACTTGGTCTGCCTGAAAGCAAACTCTATTAATGCTCTTGGGGGTGTGGGGGGGTGTGGAGTGTTAAATCTTTCTTACATACTTTACAGAAATAGGAAAACACATTTTCATTAAAAAGATCCTCAGGCATTGTCTGTCAGTTTTAATGCAATAATTAAGAAATATTAATGCTCCATAGTACATCTTTGGGAGCATATATAGACAATGAAATTGTCTTAAGTCATGTTCAGACCCATATCAAGAACCTTTCACTAGGGAAAAAAAAATGTAAAGATGCTGCACAGTGATTAACAGTCCATCTCTGTAAGAATTTTCTTATTTACTTCTGGGAAGAAGAAGGGAACACTTGGATTAGGACTTTTGAGAAACTGAGTCAAGCTATCAGCTACATGATGTTCCCTGTAGGGTTCATCATAAACATAAAACAATCTTGGTGCCAACGTATTAGCCAAGCACTCAGCTTTGTTTCATATAGATGTGAAACTGCTCCTCGTTTTTCTTCTTCCTCCAAACAAAGTGGGAGGAAACACTTTTTGACTAAGAGTCTTAGAGGGAGAGTGACTCCAAGATGTAAAAATGTAGTTCTAACTCTTGAAAGTAGATATTGTTTTTCTATCCTGTAATCCTTTTTTCCCACCTACTCACTCATTCCTTGCCTGCCTCATCCCTTTTGTACTCCAATTCCTCCCTTTCATATGCCACAGGTAAGGCTACAAACCCATAATAGCATCCTAGAAAATCATATACATAAGCTCTGTGCAAAATATATGGATCACATTAAATAGAGGTGGTAAACAGAAATAAAAATAAAGACACACAATTCCTCATCCAATGACACACGAAGCTGATATATGTGTAAGTTTTGTGGAAGTGATTTTAATACAGGAGCATTGGGTCAGCTCTAATGTGAGTAAAAAACAGCAGCAAATTAAGCACAAGCCTAGGTGGAGAAAAGATCTTGCAGTCCTTCTGGCAGGAGATTAAAATAATTGCTAATGGGAAAGCTTTCCTGAAGTATCAACATTTTAACTCCACTACATATGATAAAGAAGCCATGGAGAACTGAGTGAAGAAATTCTGTAGAACAAGATTTTTTTTTTTTTTTTTACAATTAAGCAATACTGTCTCTAAATGAGAGGTTGTGTGAGGTGACAGGAAGGGGATTATGCACTATCCTGATAAAAGTGTGTAAACAGGAGGAGGAGGAGGAAGAGGAAGAGTGTGTGGGTGTCAGTGTGAGAGAAGGTGCACACATCTTTTTATGGATTTGAGACACAACCCAGTGCATAGAATATCACCTAGACAAGAAGTAAAGGTGTTTAAAGTAAACTCCTGGCTCTGACCTTGACTTCCAGTGCGCTCCAGGGTTCCACATAAAGGTGGAACAATTCATATGGTAAACTCTTTGAAATTCATTAAATGAGAACATTAAAAATTACTATTTTTTTTTTAATCTGGTGTGCCCTCAGAACATTTGTGGATCAGAAAAGAGAACTGCATTTGTAAAGTAACCACTGCTGTAATGGCTTGTGTCTCCACCACTTGGATCATTAAATCTCCACTTACCCCTCAGCTGGTAAGGAGTGAATTACCCTCATGGGGAGACATACAGCAGTTCTTATTTCCTGCAGAAATGCATTAAATTTCATGTTAGAATTTGTTATAATTCTGTGAAATTGAAGCCATAATTCTTTGCCATACTACTTCATACTGCCAGAAGCAAAAAAACGACACAGACGGCAGGCCTGGCTCAGTATCTTATTGACACATCAGCTAGGCCAGGATAAAACACCTAGATGCAAGCAACCTGCCCATGAAAGCAGTCACAGAGTGCAGAAATACCTCTTGTGCATCTCTAATGAGCTCATGATGCCTAATCTGACAAGGTCATGACAAAGCATTACTTAAATTTTTTACCTCACCATTGTGATTTAGGAACCAATACATTTTAGCTACCTGGAACATGAACAGAATGGATTCTACCAAAACTATTCATTCTTATTTACAAGAGGGAAATTTGGATGGGAACAGGCTGTGTGAAAAGCACAGAAGTACAGAAAAAGCAGAGCTGGCCAAGAGAGTCTGCTGCTGGGAAGCAGAAGGACACAACACGACGTGCTGCCTAAACTGTGTTCACACATTAGGTCTCCACACATCCCTTTAACAATGCTCCCAGAAAGTCACATCCTCCTCAGCTTCAAGAGAAAAAGCCAATGAGCTTCATATCGTAACCTAGGCCAGTGGTACTTCAACCTATGTGAAGCAAGATGGTGCACTCCAAAAATTCTACTCTGCTGAATAGAATACAAATACTGTTCAACTGAAGCACTAAGCATTTAACTGGCTGACTTTCACGATACCTTCTTGCTTTCAGCAGCTAGAAAAGGCCCATAAATACTGGGGAAGGGGAGCAGAATTGCCCACAAATTGAAATTCACAGTCACATGGGAAAAGAGGTCAAAGGACAGAAGCTTTCCATTAAAATCACAGGTACTGTGCATGCCTCATTAAAAGAACTGCATACAGATTACAGATAACAACAAGAAGCCTAAAACACCTCTTGTGGTTATTCAGTTCCTGGTTATGACTGTGGACTGGTCAAAAGCCACCATCAAGGTGACAAAAAGGAAAAAAAAAAACACAAAATGCAGCAGCAGAGAAGTAGAGATGAAGATTTCAAATGAAGAAGAGAATGGAAAGAACTTTTATGATTTCCAGAGTAAATATTTTTCTTGATTTCTCTTTCCTTTGTAAAAAGGACAAATTTCTGCTGCTACTCCAGCACTAGAAAAGACAGAAAATGTCTAAAATACATGTAGGTTCTCCTGGTTATTTAGACTGACACAAGCATCTTTTACTGTTAGATTCTGTGAGACAGCAGGTGAAATGTTCCTAAAATTAACAGAGGTTATGGTTCTTTTCAAACCACTGAAAAACTGTCATGACATTACTAGTGTCATGCAACTCTAAATCTTACAAAAATTATATAATAATCAAAGTCCTGTGCATTAACTCAGTGAAAAAAATAACTTCTGGCTATCTGGGTTTTGTTTCAGGCAATAAATCTATAATCCAGGAAACTCTTTGAAGACCCATGAATTCAATAGTGCCACAAAGATAGGCATTATTTATTTATTACTACAGTAGTCTGAAAAATTATGATCTTTGATATATTATTAGTAGCAGCTGCCTTATGCTACAGTCGTTAAAAAACACAAACATTTATGAATTTTAAAATTGACATTAAAGAAGATCTCAGGACAAAAATGCTTATAGGACACCTCTTAAGAGCTTTTTAGCCATATTAGAAAGACAGAGAAAGGAACAGGAATTGTCAGAGGTCTAGAAATAAAACATACAAGGAAAGATTGAACAGAAAGATTGTCTAGGTAAGGGAATAATGAGAGGAAATTTGGAAACAGCCTGTAAATATTCAAAGGGATGCTCCAAATACAAAGGGTATCATCTCTCTTCCTCATTCATGAGAGTAAGACAGGAAGCAAAGGGATTTAAAATGCAATAAGCAGGATACAGGTAAGGCATTAAAATACCCTTCTAGTGGTAGAGCTCATGAATCACCAAAGTGGATATGGAATATCCATCATGAGGCACTGCTAAGAACCACAAGGACAAACTTGTCTCAGATGATTATTGCTGACTCACCAAAGCAAGAGCATGGGTGATACATACTCTCAAGAGTCTTTCTAACTCTTTCTCCTGTGATTTGAAATGTCAACATTTCTATTTTAACAATAGGATCTGGTTTTCATGTATTTTCTTTTGTTTGTCAATTGAGGAAATTAAAAAAAACAAACAGTTTGCCTGTTGAAAGATGTATTATTTGTATAACAACTAAACTATAACTCTCTTGGGTCAAATTTAGAAACAAAGTGCTGGTTTGGAAAAATTACAGAGAGTTATCTCAGTATTCCAACTCAGTTTTATTACAGGAATCAATCCTTTTAAAGATACAATTAAAAACAGCCATATAGCGGACAGAGCAATAAGCTAGAATAATTGTTCACACAAGATGCCATACCCAAACCACAATGCTAGAAATCCTCAAGACAAGATCTACCATGCTGAAAGAATTTCAAGTAAAGGTTTGCATCAATGCCTCTATTTATAGACAAAATTGATATTCATATGTAAGTTGTATGTACAGACTTTTCCATCACTTAAAGTTCAGTGCATGAGGAATAGCTCTGGGCTTATCTTCTACATATAAGGGAATTTCACCAGACACATGCAGACAAAGGATCTTTATGTATCTACTTCCAATAATGCATTTCTCCCATACTGTAAGCACCTATCCATGGAAAAATCTCAGGTGTGGAAAGGGTTTTTAAAACATTCCCATAGACTGCTGCCTAAGGGTTGTTGAGGGTTGTTTTGTTTTCTTTTATTTTTCCCATTATAACACATTGCTTGCATTGATCATGACCATACAAAGTAGCAGTATTTTAATCCCACACACTCTTTACATTCTTGTAATGAACACATGAAACAAAATGAAAAATACTTGAGTTAGTATTTCTTATTGGGAGACTAATCAGCTTGGAGCTGGCAATTTTTATTTAAATCCAAAGGAACAGCCAATAATGAAGTATAAACAATAGTACAGCAATATGTTATATAATCAATCATGTAATATGTGATTCAAAAAATCTTTATAAGAAACGTACCACCAATCTATTTATGGGCTACAAATTCACACTAAATAATGAAAAGCTGCAAATTACAGGCACAATAGAAACAAGTGTACATAAGTTCATGAATGATGTATTAACCCAGACATTGGCAAAAATCATAAACCATGGTTAGGCAAGAATAAATCTTCATTTTCACAGATTGTATGGTGTTAAACAGACTGTGAACCTTGGCTGAAAATTCAGCTACAGAGCATTGTGGGGATCAAATGGCATTATTGTATTTCCACAAATGTAGGAGTAAAGGGATGGGAAAGAACATGTAAAAATTCTAAAAAACAACTGCAAATAACAGTATACCTTAACTGCAGTGCAGTAGAAATATTTTTACAGCTAAGACAAAGTAATGAGCACATTTCTGAGATTTGTGATACATAGCAGGAGCTGGGCCAAAGAATGGTCTATACATTTACTGGCAGTGTGTGTGCCCTTTCAGCACACATAAAATATTTTAAAGCTTGATCTGACACAGTCAGCAAACAGTCTACACATTATGTTGTTGCAATGAGTCTAATTTCAATAACAGCTCAGGGCCAGAAGTAAATAAATAAACTAAGGGAATAAATAAACAGAGGAACTAAGTAGAACAACTAACCTTTCACAGGAAAAAAAGGGAAAAATCCAAGGTGACTGTGAGCAAGATCAGTGGTATTTCTGCCATATTATCTTCATCTCTGAAGATGAACTCACCTAGCAGAGCTCAAGGGGTGAAAAACAAATTTGACAACAGGAAATGAACAAGGGAGCGAGCTTTTAAAAAGCCTGCCACCTTCAAATGTAATGTTTTCATGCAAAGGCCATATTTGCTAAAAACTCCTGCTACTTTTGGAGGGGTGGGTTCCTGAGATTTTTGTATATGGTGGACTAGGGATTGTTAAAAAAAAACTCTGATATTATGCAGAGCTTCCTGAAATCAGCTCCTAAGGCCATCCCCAGTCACTTAGGCCCTTTGAACAAGATATTTCTCAGAGATTAACAGATAGCTGCTCTAATCTGGGTACTGTGCTTCTGTGAGATGGCCTCAAAATACATTTTCATGCTTTGAGAGCCCTTTTGCAGTTATGAGACAATGGCATGGGCTAGTGAACCTGTTTTTCAAAGGGTGTGAAAGGCTGTTCACACTTCTATATATTGTTAAGTACATTGCTGATATTCTGAGTGTCAATGAGTGGATTAATGAGCTGCCTCCTCAGCTGCCTCCTCACCGAAAAATTCAGTGTCTCTGAAGCCTTTCACACTGTACAAGTCTGGCCATCTTCAACTACATCTCAAATGTCCAAAATAAGAGAACATGAATACAAGATTTGACTCCTCATGCCTGTGTTTTCAGTTTTGGAAACATTTCTGAACTTAGGGCATTGAAAAACCTGAGTCAACCACAATAGGGCATCCAAAAAGGCATGAAGAAATATCCAGATTTTCTTTCAACCATGCAGACAAAATAATAGCCATCAAAGAAAATCCTCATTTGTTGGTGTCAACTCTTCTGGAGGAACAGAAATGTATAGAAAGTATAAGTGACGCAGAAGTCTCAGAAATTAAAATATAGTTGCCAGACAGCCAAAAGTACCTTGTACCAACAGAGGCAGCCATAAGTACCTTGTACCATAGGTACCAACAGAACTTACCCTTGAATTGTCTTCCCCAGGACTAAACAGCCTCATGACTGTGCTGCACTTTTTGTTACGTTTCATGCATTTAGGTGTTCTAAATTCAGCTCACAGGAGCTGAATGCATTTTTGTTGTCTCTGGGCAGGAAGAAAGTTTAAGATGCTTATTTCAGTTGCTCACCAGAGAGATTGAACCCCTCTAACAAAATAGAATTTCCTGGTTTGGAATTATCATTTGGTCATAAAGGACTGCATGCCAAAATTTTGTCAGAGACAAATAGTTGAGAAAAATCACATGAAAGAGATGAATGAAAAACCACCTGGGCTGGTACTATGTGAAGTGACAGAAAGTGAATGACTGATGCAATGGGGAATTTGTTATTGACCTTAGTGGCGACAAATCTCAACTTCCCTGTTGTTCAACACAACCACTTTTTAGAGAAGTACTTTACTGGGGAAAAAATATTCAGCACTTACAAAGAGACATTGATTTCTTTCAGCTCATTCAGTCTGACCTGGGAAAGACAAATGGTGAAGGTGTTAATGGGCAAATGTAAAAGGAGCACATAGGTTAGTGAATAGTTACAGTGGCTCCCCACACCAGGATATACTTTTCAGGTTTACTACAGGCCAAGGTGAAGGATGTAGGCTGAAATTCAGAAATTACCCTTCTATCAGTCATATAATTTTATGACATGGAAAAGAAAGTCACTGCAGGCAGAAGAAAACTACCTTAGGCCTCTTCAAAGTCTAAAACAATTTTAATGCAGGTTAAAAGTGCTCTGAAAATCCCCCTTGAGCCAGCAAACATGAACAGGTAGGATGTTCACAGACAGTGATTGCTGGCTAAGGATAAGACAGAATTGTTCCTGACTTTATATCTTACCTTCCAAAACCTGCCATCTCCCAGTATTGGAAAGCTCTAAGCTCCATTATGCTTAAATTGCTCCATATTACTACATCCTACTGCTCTTGAAGGTGGTTTGTTATAGTTACCCTCCTGCCAGGTAGGTATATGGAAGTAAATGATATATTTTGATACAAGGCTATTTTGCTGAACTGGATAGATTAAAGAACTGGTAATAAATTTTATTTTGTCTTCTAGGCCACTGGTGCAAACTAAGTCCAGTTCAATAGTGACCAGAAGTTATTGCCACCTGACAACAGAACGAAATACACGTGAAATTGAGTGGCAGTTCTTAGCCCAGGTCCTTGTGACTTGGACATGAAATTGCCCCTTCTGACACAAATTGGACCCAATGAAGCTGTGTTAATGCAAATGCCCAGGAACAAGTAGGATGGAACACTCTATTTTGTGACAGGGAGAATCAGGTGACATTCTTCATTTAAAAAGCTTTCTTCATAAAATGTACTCTTGTCAAGACTGAACTTTAAAGAATTTAACACGAACATTTGAGACAATTATAAAACTTCAACACAATCTTTTTGTTGAAAATTTCAAGCTGAAATATTTTTTCATTTCATCTCAAAATGTTGTTCTGCTTTGGAATTTTATTTTTAAAGAAAGGAAAATAAATTACATGTTATGATGAGTGTTTAAGATGACAGAGTGGGATTAATTTTGCCTAACTTTAGACATCCACACTGTAGGCGTCAACCTCAGAGCTAGTCACTCCAGGTTTGCGTTATAGTTAATGGAAAGAAACAGGTACATTTAAGGTGTGGCTCCTTGGACCTATTTTAAGATCAATAATTATTGATTAAAATTACTGTTTCTCTCCACTGCCTGTGGTATGAGTCTACAAAGATCTCAAATGAAGATCTACCAGAGCCACCTTCTACTGCTCAGATGAGTCCTCTCCCAGTTGTCCAACTCTCCAATTACATACACTTATTTTTCAGCTTTTTAAAAGTGAAAGCCATAACTAATAATATGTTTTCACTCGAAATAAAAGGTTGCATATTGCTTCAGAAATTTCATTTAACAAATAAACTTCTTTTCCAAGTGAATTTAAAATTTAAGGTGGAAAACCCTATTAGCTATGTGTAAAGCTGAAGTTATATAAGGGACATTTTAGCAGGCAAGAAGGATGAAAAACCACAGGTTCTCTCATCCTATGTCTCACATCTCATTGAATTATTGCCACTCACAATTACCAAAGTCAACAGAAAAGCTACAAGGAGGTTCTGTGGGATGGATGATTCAATGATTTTGCTCTCCAATCTCAGCTGCCATGAGGGAAAGGGGCAGGAGAAGACAGCTAGGAAAGCAGAGAGGAGAGATGGGGACAGGGGGGACTGACTGCCCATGGGAAGAATGCAGTGGGTGGAAAGAGCATGGAGAAATAAATGTTTTAAAGAGTGGCAGAAAACAGGCAAGGGCAATAGCGTCTGAAGGGAAGGCAAATGTAAGAAAGGACAGAATGGGTAGCTGAAGAAAAGCAGCTCTAGAGACATTAACATTTTTTTAAATTAAAAAACTCCAAAAGGAGGATTGTTTTCTCACAGGTCTGATCATAATTTCCTAGGTTGCCAGGCACATGTCAGACACAGAAAAGAAGCATAAGTGAATCCTGCTTTTCCCTCTATATTTAGTGTATCCTAATTCAGCTCCAGAACTGTTTGCAGCCCTCTTTACTCTTTCTCATCTTATACTTCCACAGAGCCAAATCATTTTGTTGCAGACCTTTGGCTGCACTGGGCTCAGATTCAGCCACACAGCTGGGAATATAACTCATTTCACTCAGCAGAACCAGCTTCATTGGTAAAAACAAATTTACATTGATTGCCTTTGAGCCTAACACACACACTTTCTCCAGCCCTCTGTCTAACAAAACAGTGAAGGAGATTTTTGACTTGCCAATAACCTCACAAACAAATTAGCTTGACTTTAACTCCATTACTCAGACTAATCTCTCTTGGATTTCCTAGCATTTACACAGGAAATGGTTCATTCATAAGAGATGGCGTGTACATTTAGCTTTTGTAATTCAAGGAATGTGTTAGGTGGTTTGTGGTGACATTTTTCTTAATAATGTGGGCAGCACTGGAATGTCTTTCTCCAGCTACTGTTCTCTTGGTGGATGCACACATTATTTAGATTGAGAGCAAGAAATTTTCTCAGGTGGTTTTCAGGTAAAACAGAAAGTATATGTGGGGAAGGTTAGAAATAAAATTGAGATGTGCCTTTGCCTAGAGTAGAATCCCAGACTGACAATGGGGTTTCATGCAATTACCTTTTTTTGCAATCTTCAGCTGCCTTCCTCCCTTCACCACTTTCTTTCAGGTAGAAGGAAAAATTAAAATATAGAAAAATGAAAGTATGGGAAGTCAGACCAGGAACAGGCAGGAGTTTTAGGCATGTCTCTAGCACTGATTCACCCTACAGCTTCATGCTAATGCATATCCTCCCTGCTTCAGTGGGACAAGTCTCCTAGGCAATGTGGATTTAGCCACACTTCTGCACTCAAAACCAGACACTGATACCATCACATTATTACTATATAAATCTAATCTAACAGGCAGCCTCAGCCCAGAGTCTTAACATTTAATTGCGTTAGAAACAGGCTAAACTTCACTTTCTTACACAGTCACATGATTCAACCAGTGGCAAAACAAGTGGGCTTTAGACATCTGAGATGTCGCTTTTCTCTGTGTTTTTTCCTCTGTGTTTTTCTCACAGATCTCTGTGTTTTTCTCACATGATCTCCATTACATACATATGTGGATATGTAATATTTTGGCTATTGTGTAATTTTGAGTTCTTCCACTCCTTCACTTTGCCTGCAAATGCACTTGTCTCCCAAATTCACAGGAAAGATAAGAAGTACAACAGCCAGCATTTTTGATGTAGTAATTCACATGACTTGTCAGAGTTTTCCTCTTCTGAAAGTGGAGGGTACCAACAAGATCTCTGACACTGCCTGACTTCTGTCATTCTCCCATCACAGCTTTTCAGCTCTTCATTGCCCATTCAGGAACTGATCTTCACACTGCACAGAAGAAATAATGGACACGTGAAAATTCACCTAGGAAAGATGTATGCTTTATTCTAACAATGAAATAAAAGCAGATCAGAGCCTTGAACTGAACGTTGTGATGGGTAATGTGACAACAGGAAAGCCCTAGAACACAAATGACCTTTCCCACTTATCTATAAATTATTTTTGTACAACTTTTGTACAACTTTTTCTCTTTGTCTCACAAAAAGGTTGAAAACTAGCTGAAGAAAAATGCAAGTAGCACAGAGGACTAAGCAAAGATAGCATCGTTAAAAGAAAAAATTTTGCTATTAACTCTCTTCTGGTCTTAGGTGTCAAGAGACAGCACTTCCCAGATCTAAGTGTTTCCTCAAAAACACCATTAATAAAGTTTTCTAATTCCACTGCAGAATCCTATAACTTGTAAAACCACTTAAATGTTTGTTACATACTTACATGCTTTGCCACACTTACATGTTGAGCAGGAAACAAATACATCACAAAGGCTCTTTGCTAAATTTCAAAGCCAAAAGTTGAAAAATTCCAGAGCAACAAGAAGTGAGTGGTCATGGCAGCTTGCACACAAACAATTTTACTCTTTTAGCACCTCAGAAGGCATGATATTCTGTGCACCCAGATTCTTGGGCCACATCATCATAACTGTGTCCCTACTGAATTGCACATTGTGCTTAACCCACTTAAAGGTGGTGTCCTACTACCCCCATGAGGCCTTAATTATTTCATTGGTTCATTTATTTGAGCACCTTGCCCACCTCAGCCACTTTCTTCTCAGTTTAGTCAAGTTTAGGCAGGTTTAGTCTCATGAAGAGCCCTGCAGAGCCCAGGCAGTCTCCCCTTGTTTGTGAAATTTGTATCCCTCAATTAATCTTTAATTGTAGGTGTCTGTAGAGAACCCCAGTAAGCTTCAAGTACAGACCCACAGCAGTGAAATGTGTTTGGAGTATGCTTCCACAAGCATAGGGACACCAGTAAAGATTTTCAATCCCGCATGTAGTGCAGACACACTAAAATGAAACTCTCTGCTCTAGGAACAATAACTTAGGTTTTGTGTGTCTTTGCAGAAGAAAAGACGTAGAAGAGAAGGAAAAGCTTCTGCATACTGCAGGAACAGATAAAAGGAAAATTCCTTTTCAAATTCTCATGACATCCTTTTGTCAAAGTCTCAGCAGACAATATGCAGATTTAACATAGATTAGGCTTTACATTTAAGGGAGTGACAGCACTATTGTTAATTAATCCTACAGAAGATAAGCTCTAAGAGCACTGCTTCTGGCCTGAGTGCCTCCTAGTCTGTCCTTTATCTGTCTACGTTGAGAATTCAGATAAAGTCAGCAATCAAGATTATAAAGTATGTTTCTATAAAAAGTATGTTCATTGTTATACAAAGCAGCATCTTTAAAGAGAGAGTTTAGGTGAGAATTGTCTGAGTAAATGCAGATGTTGCCCATACAGATGTTTATGCATGAGCCAGCTGGGTACAGCCTTCTTGCAAGAAGGAGCCTGGTACCCCTGTCATTAATTCCCTCCTGAACTATTTGGCTAAAATGGCTCTGACTAACCACATACTCAGAGCAACCAGCTCACAAGTGAACATCTGCCTATTGATGTCTACGTATAGAGATACCCAAACACACCTGAGTGTGTTTGCTCAAGAGTCCTGCGAGGGTGGATTTACAATAGCACTCAATAACATACTTGTATAAAAATATTTACTCTCCTATAGTCAGAAATGTAAGTCAGCCCAAGGTACAACACAGCCTTTACCTCCAAAGCACTCTTATGCTGCCTGTTGGCACCCACACTGCTGTAACTTTGCAGATGTAATTAATAATTACCCATATTTTCTGGACCAAAACAATGCAGATATGATGGCAAGTTTATGCTAGCATGTTTTCACTGGTCTCATACATCCCCCTTGCTGTCTGCAGGGGAAAACAAGTATCTTTTCCTCCAACAAGTTCAGAGGGCATCTTGCACTCTGGTTCAGCTGGTAGAGCTGGCAGTGACTCACATTGCACAAAAATGCAAAAAGCAAGAAAAACAGGAAGTCTTGTGATGCCTGTCTCTAAAATCAGGCTTTAAAATCCATTAGAATGATCCTGTGTCTCTCTTAGCCACCACGGATCCTGGCCAGTTTCCAAAACAATGAGCATCATCCCCATCTCTGGAAAACTATCTTGGTTCCCAACATGCAATGTCAGCTGGCAGGAGGGGGTGAGAAAAAGGAAACAAACCAAAAAACATCCTACAGAATTAATTAGGAGTTTGGAACACAATTTGCACTGAAGAAGCAAGTGAAGAGTATGCTCACACATCACTGAGAGAATACATTGATCACTGAACAGAAATCATACCCCTCTGCTGAAATCAGTACTTCCTAAATGTATGTACATTGCCTATAGTTAGTACCAATCACTCCTCTTCTAGCCAAGGTGATACAAATATGAGTGTGGGATACTAAAGGGTCCTGGGGCATCTGATGTGTCCAAAAAAATCTTATTTATATTGCTCTTTTTATACTGAATATGTTTCATTCCTTTGAACCCTTTCCTTTCTTTCATTTTTGTTTGAAGCCACACAGATTTTCTTGAATGCAGGTTTTCTCTGCAAAACAGTCCATCATGAGAAATATTTTGAGATAAAAGAAAATGGAAATGTTCATTTTGTGAGCATCACAGTTTTTGTTCCAAAGTTTATTCATTCATTTACAAATCCATTATAGCTGTCCAGCTAATTTCACTTTATACCAAATCAAATTATTACTCAGAGTTAAATATAATTACTTCATTTTGATTCTTATTTTTTTACCCTAATGAAAGAAAAACAAACCACTTTCATCAGGAGCTGAGTGCCTTCCAAGCTAATCCATCAGTTACTTTTTCTTTGGGTGCATCCCTCCATTTCTTTACGCCACCTTTGGGTACTCAGTACCACAAAGTGATCAGAGACATTAATTAGAAATTACACCTCACAGCAGCCCAGGTTCTGTAACTGGGAGAGCAGAGATATGCCAGCACAAGAGGCAGCACACCTCAGTGGAGAAACAACAAGAATTTGGAAGGCTCAAGCTCTACCATAAACTCTGCAATTTTAGGTACAGCATGTATCAGTTTCCACATCAGTGAACTGGAATGGCTTTTATTTTATTTCCTTCTTAAAATACTTATTGATCTTACAATTCAAACTGCTAAGAAATAAGGAAATAAATAGGTAGTCCTGCTAATAAAGACAGTATTTTGTTCTATACCATGCATTTTACTGTTTTATTTTTCTTTAACTAGGTAAAAACTACATACAAATATCACTGGCTCAAGAGTTTTCAGACAATTAGTATGATCATTCCTAAAAGAAATAATGATATAATGGTATAAAAAAAATACCGCTAGTATCATGAGGCTATGTAATATTGGAAATGTGGTAGTATGTTAAAGTTTAAGAACCTACAAAATTAATATTTCTGAGCTTGAAAGATGATCAATACCTAAGTGTCCGAGAGGTCAATATTGGTACCAAAGCTTTTAACGTGTAACTAAGCCCATAAAAGAAATAGACAGCAAGTTATTGAGAACTGATAAAGGTGAGGTTATTTCAGCTAATAACAGTCTGCAGAGGATTGTGAAATTCCCCAGATGTACTTAAAAGTCATTGGAGTTCTAGGCAGCATGGTGGCAGATTACATTTATCTTGGATAAGCAGGAAATAGTGTAGATTGACACAATAAAAAAATCAAAGTCACTGACAGTCTCTAAGCCCAGTAACTGCTCCAGTGGAGAAAGAAATGGAGGAGCCAGCACAAGCAGATCAGAAAGAGATGATGAGTACAGTCAAAATTACATGGGTTAGACATAGCATGAGGAATAATACTCAAAGTAAAGGGGAGGAGGGGAGGGTAGAATTAGTGACCTGGGATTCATGGGTAATGATGACTGTTGATGCTGGAAGGGAACTTCTTGAAATATTTGTAGAAAAAATTCTAGGAAATATTTTAAAATATGAAAGAGTCAAATAAAAATATTTTCTTCCTAATATGAACAACTGAAAGGCAAAAAAAAACCCCAAAAAAACAAAAGGATAAATTGAGAAAAATATAAACATAAGCAAACCCATGAGAAAGTTATAGACTGCAATGCGGTCTCCCCTTAGTCTCCCTTTCTCAAGGGTGAACAGACCAAGTGATCTCAGTAGCAACTCATTCAGCTTCCCCTCAAGAGACCCTTCATCATCTTTGAGGCCCTTGTTTGGATGCTTTCTAAAAGCTTTCTTATATTGTCATGCCCAAAACTGCTCCCAGTACTAGAGGTGAGAGTACACCTAACAGAGAAACCATAAATATAGCAGAGTTTAGCCTCAGTATTTTTTCTGAATGGAGGTCGCTTGCTGAATCACAGACTTATGTTAAGCATTCAACCTACTGGCTGCTACTCTCTGTTATAAAGCAAATGCAGATGCATGCTGGTAGAAAATCTCCTTGAATCATCTCAGGAAAAGCTGCAATGACATTCCCTATTATGCTTCACAATAGGAGTTTCTCTTGAGTCTCTTTGCTTTATTCCTCAAATCAGAAAGAGAGGGAGAAAGAAAATACTTTTCCTCTGGTTGACTGAGTTTCAGAGAATGTCAGGTCTTGCTTTCCTTAGGATTGCCCAGATGGCTCCTTTGAAATGGATGTGTCTAATTTTAGAGCAAGAAAGGGGAAAAGAAAGCTGGAGAGGCTAACGCAAAGTGACTCTTCCCTGCATATTTTGGTGTGTTAATATTCTGTGGCAACATTTTTCTCTCTTCCTCTGCTTGACTCTTTCTCTAGTCTCTCTCCTTTTTTCCCCCCAGATCAGCATGTTTGTTAACTTTAATGAAGTACAGAGACTGAAGTACAGAGACTGCTCTGTGTTTTATTCATCTGGAATTCTCTTAAGCATGTAAAGGACTCATTTGCTTTATTGGTTTTCTGTGGCCATCCTGAGAAAAAGATGCATCAAAACCACCATACTATC